TCTTTGCGTTTGCTTTTTGTCATTAACACATTCGTTACCACCTCCCCTTTCCATTGTTGTTGTACATTAGATGTTACAAGCTTAGTGTCCTTTTGGCAATGCCGCCATCTTTGTTTTTTGTGTTAGCGTATTCCTTACTCCCTCCCCTTTCAGACGTTACCTCACACGTCACGATCGGACGAGCTGTCGCACCTCCACAACGAAACTAGACAAAAATGACCAGAATGAACCTTAGAGATTTCTTATGGGATTTAACATCCCGGAAATATCCCGAACCGGTGCTGCTCTTTTACTCAGGTTATACACGTAGAGCTAAGGATGAGGATGATGATTTGTCAAAACAACAATTTCTTCTGTTTTCAAAGCATATACCTGTTGCAACTTCTTTAACAGACACACATTATTGCTTCACTCATTTATAACTTCTAATTTATAATTAACGTTGATTCACTGATCACTTATTATTAATGGCTAAATTAAATTCACTGTTTCAGATGTCTATAATTGAAAAAATAAGAATAATCAATAATGGAAGTGTTTATTCATTAATTGTGATTAAAAACTTTTCATTTGTAAAAACTACTCTATAAATGACCACAAAATTTCAAAAATAAATATTTAACCTTTATTTTTTGTTGTAATTGTTGCAGTTTTATTTTGGTGATAAACTGCATACTAATAATTTTGTAGTTTTAAGTTGCAATTAATATTGTACACATGTGCTTGTTTGTATGGTAAATTCACATCTTTTAACATTGTTTGAAGTTTAATTTCCTTATTAAAATACAAAACACAAACCTCTTAGTAGTAATACATTTTGTAATATTAGATTACTATAGATTTTTGCTTTCTCCATGAGAATTATATGCTTAAAAAAATTGTTTATTAAATATTTTGAGTGATCATTTATATTTCAATTAAAGCCTTAGGCCCTCATCCTTTATAATGTTCTTACAACTTTTGTAATTTCTATTCCCAATATTGGTATCTAATCAGTTTTTTTAGCAATTTTTTTCATAGGCTAATATCTTTCGTACTGAACTTTTAGATAACATACAGTTGTAGCCTGTGATAATATCCACATTTAATAATATTTCGTATATCAATAATCAATATAGCATTAGATCCCACTGCATGATCTCTGTGTTCATAATGTAGTTAATCAAACTCAAATGATACATACATTTAAAATTAGGAGAACACATTAATAGGATGCCAATCAAAAAGGGCCGCAAATATTTTTGATTTAATAAATAGTAATTAATTTTTGATAAAAATTTTATTTCATTCATTTATTTTTTAAATAAAATATGCTGCTCATGACGTATATGCATGTTTTTTTTATCAAATTAAAGCTCGTTTTTTCTTAATATGATGCTATAAGTTTGCCTGAAAGAAAATGGTAGAAAATTAGGGTTGCCAGCTGTAAACACATTGCCTGCCGTCTCGGTCTGTGACCGAGAAAAAAATTGCCCTGCACGCCAGCGAGGTCTATTGAACGAGATTTTTAATGTAACTGTGGTGCCGACTCGGTCACTATGACGTGAACGAAAAGTATTACAAAATCCTCTATGGCAGGCAACTTGTTAAAAACATGAGGTATCTAAGATAAAATAAGAGCCATATAGCCTACAACACTACTGGTTTGAGGTGTCAGTTGTGTGAATTTTTAAAGCATGTGTTGATAGATATGTAATATACATATTATCACAAATTACCGAGTTACCTCGAGTTTTTAACAGCTGACAACCCTAATTTTCAACCATTTTTTTTTTCAGACAACTTCATATTATTATATTAAGCAAAAATTTAGCTTTACATAAATATGTCATAAGCAGCATATTTTATTTAAAAAATAAATGAACGAAATAAAATAATTATCAAAAACGAATTACTATTAACAGCTTTGCTATGATTATGAAAAATTCAATTATTATGTTGTATTTATGTAGAATTCTGTATTTAGATACACCAGTCGCAATAGACTGGTGGTTCTTAAGAAATTTGCAATCTATCTCTAAATTTTTAAAGATTTATGAGTAGTAATACTTGTATACACACAAAGAATACACTTGTATACAGTATGTAGTAACTTCTGTCTCTGCCTCTGATTCGTTTAAAGTATTTATAATTGTTTCTTGGTTGCTGATCCAATTTCTGATTGTGGTCTACACAACTACCAATTGTAGTAGTAGTAGCATTTTACAACGCCAAATTTACTAATTTAACAGTTCTACTACTCATTTTACTCAATTCTTATACAAATATTTTAAACACTATTATGGCTTGAACGAGCTAACTAAACTAAACTGGTAATTAAAAATGAAATTACTCACCAGATGAATTCATCTAAGAATCCAACAATGAAAAATAAATATCTTGTATGTGTTTACCACTCGAATACAACTGGTGCTAAATTATCCCTCTATTAGATAGATCTCTTTCAGACAATAATACAGGTAACCTATGTCAGTTTTTACCAATGCGTTTTGTGTATATGTTACTCACCAGATAGAAACATTACTTTTAGCTGTAATTTCTGCAAAAGTAGATACCAGTCTTTTTCAACTAGTAGTGCAGCGAAGGTGTTAACTGAATTAAAAAAATTTGCAGCCACTTTTTAACTGACAATCTATTATCGATGTATTCTCCTAATTTTAAATGTATGTAAGTATGTAAGATTTATGAATTATGTTATGAATGTAGTGATCCTGCAGTGGGATCTTGTACTACTTAATATCTTTGTACCTTACTCTCTATCTTATACTTAAATGAGAACCATGTAAGTCTAAAATTCTCCTTATTTACTTACTTCATACGATAAAATATCAATACCAAACAATATTTTTCTTAAATATGTATAGTACTAGTATCATAATAAAGAACAACTTGATATCATTTTTACTATACCAACAAGTAGTTTTTCCAAACAAAACAAACTGAAAAAACTAATAAAATTTTATATGTCCTACAAGAGTTCCTATTCCTACTTCATCATTTGCTTAGCCTTTGTTCCGTTGTGGTATCTTTCATAGTTATTACATTTTCCTACAATATACAATGTGATTTCTCTAAAATAAAGACGTCAACCAAACATATTGGACAAAAATGTCAATGTTTGTTTACAATGTGTAATATAGTTGTATACAAAGCATACATTTACATTTCAAAAATGTGACAATGTCAGTTAAAGTTTTCTAGTTCTTAAAGTATGATAGGGATATCAACTAAAGCATTAGATGGATCAATAATTAAAAAGACACTCTAACAGGTTGTTCTCATTTAAAACTGATAGGGGAAAGAAGCTCATTTTTGTAAAGAATGCACATTTAAAGCAGTATAACTGTCTGATGACTGTTCACAGACCTCTTTAAGTACCACTTACATAAGGTGAAGCTATTAACTGATGATAGAGGTTTCCAGTTTTCTATGCCATTTTTATAGCCAGAAATGATAAATCACATGTCTCCAACTAATCTATTGGAGACATCCATGATGTACATCTCATATTAGTCCGGCCTAAATGTCTATCATAATTTTGACAGACTCAGCTGGAACCTCTTTCTTACTAAATATCCATCACAACTCTCAGTGATATATGTTTCATAAATATGTTCATTATACAAAAATATTCACAATATATCAGAATCAAAAATAATAATACTGGATGGTTACAATAAATAAGGTAAATAATTCTTTTAAAAATTTACAAGTTCACAGACTCTTAAAGACTTAATTTTTTAGACAACCCAAAAAAATGTTAAAAAACCAATAACTTTTAATAAAAAAAAAACAAAACTACATACTTTAAATCAATTTACCTACAAATTTATGTGTATTAATGAGACCCATTAGCTAGATTTCACAATAAGTTTCTAATTGAAGTAAATATTTGGGAAAGGTATGATCCTGTTGTTTTAGAAAATTTGTTATTTTACATAATCAAAATAAACCCTGTATTATTTATAATAGTGTTAATTCCAAAAAAATGGGCATACCCTCATCCTTTTCCTAGAGTTAGTAAGTATAGGACTGCCATCACTGTCCTCACTAGAACTTATTGTATGTCTTTTGGATTTCCTCTTAAGTCTTTCGGAAGAATTGGCTAAAATTGGACTACCGCTGGATGTACTTGATGGACTGCCTTCCAATTGTCGCACTTTCCTCTTACGTTTTGGTCCGGCATCACTGTCTTCACTGCTGCTCATTTCTACGTATATACAACAGTCATTAGCACATCTATATTAATAATTTCAGTTAGTAATTTACACTTTTAGAACTTCATTTATGTTAGGGTTGTTTTATTTTAGAGTATATTTATATGTTTCTACAATTGAAACTTTACAAAGAGAGTTGTCAAGTCTGATTTATCTCCGCCAATGCCAATATGGCGTAATACAGATCATTACAGTTATTCTTTTGGTCTTCCATTAATTAGAATCTGCGACGGTAGAAAGAGCTAGACTTACCTTACACATAAGATCGACAAAGAAGTGAGCTAGTTGTATTAATAACTGAGAAATCTACGAAGAGAAAGAGCTTATACCATTTCGACACGAAAGAAAAGAAAACCACTAGTACACTAGTACAGTGATTGAATGCAATAAAACCTCTAGAGAGAGATAGCACGATTAATAGAAGTGTATACTCCTCCTTGGTTCTTCGATTGTATGATACAATTAAGCCGTTTTGCCTAGAATTTAGTTAATTTTTCAAAACTAAAATTATAAATGATAAATATTAAAATAAAGAATGACTTAAATATTAAAAGAAATTATGATAGAGGTTTATTATTATCAAAGTTTAATATCGTTTTAAATCCTAATACCGCATCGACGGCTTATTAGTCACTAATAAAAGTTACTTTTTTTAATCAATATCTGTCGGCCGGTAGACGAGATTTAATCGTCTCCTTCTATATGTTGTGTCTCGGTTACTCTCGTAAAATCTGCATTTATTGCACTTTTAAGTCAAATTCAGAACTGATTGAATAACCAAAAATAGTACGAAACGAACAAAGCACGATTTTTAACTATTTTGAGGTGAGGTCATTAGAAGGATTTTGTATTTTGCGTATAAAGTATCAAATAATAAAATCCGCAAAAATGCAGGGCATGTCATTAAAATCACTTGCAAAACATAAAGCTGTAAGTATTACTAATAACTATATATAATTTTTTCCCATTTAAATCATACTCAGACATAACCTAATGTTAGCCCTGTTATGTCACTATATTTTTCTTTGTAATTATTTTATTTTCCATTTTAGTTAATTCCTCTATATTTCTGTGTCGCTTTGGGATGTGCTGGAGCAGCTTTCTATACCACTAGACTAGCTTTAAGAAATCCCGATGTCCAGTGGAGTAGATCAGGAGACATTTCTAATGAAGAATTTAGGCAGAAGCAATATAAGGTAACTACTCTATAAAATATTATTGTAGTGTTAAATTCATACTAAATGTAATATTTTTACAGTTCTATTCTCCCAATGTTGACTACTCTAAAATGGAAAGTCCAGCTCCAAAGTATTAGGATGACTGAAGAATAGTGATTAGTAGATATATTGTAAATGTTTCTAAATAAATTATAACTACCTAAGATTTGCCTTGTAAATTAAATAAAAAACATTAAAAAAACTTCCAATGTTTTCCATAATCTACCTAGTAAATATCTAGTCTCTTTGCATAACTCATATTAAGATAGGATCTCTGAGGTGGATAGGGCATGTAATGTGGATAGAACAAAATGACCCAGTTAGAAAAACGCTCTTTGATAGATCCATTGGTCAGCAAAGAAGAGGAAGACCTAGAACAAGGTTCCTTGATAACATCAAAGAAGACATGCAAATACATGCTTGGTGGAGAAAGGCTATGGATAGGCAAGGCTGGAGAGAAATTCTTGAGTTTTAAAAATAACTATATATTCTCTTCTTATTGTACCATCTCATTTAGAAGGTTGGTGATCCAAATGGCAATTGTAGCTTTGTAAACCACTGCACAAAAAATTTTTGTAGGTGAGTAGTCAACTCATCTCTTCAAGACTTTCAGCCACAAGTTCTGGTGTCTTCCTACTGATCTTTTGCCTCTACTTTACCTTCCAATATGATTAGGAGTAATTCATCCACCTGGTAAATATGAATAAAAGAAGAGTCTGCATAATTCACAGATTAACAGTTGATTCTGAATAGAAAGAGGTGCCAGCTAATATAGATTATTCGAAAGTTATGATTGCACATGAAATAAATGACAATCTTGTATGAAATTATATAAATTATTAGTACCAAAATTCAATTAAAGACTATGATTATGCACAGACCATTTTAGGAATTGTAAAATCATTGTGTTTGTAGTTTTTACTTTGAATTCAATTTCATTTATTAGTAGTTTCATTTAATTTGATTTCTGGAAAACTGTAAGTAGTAACCACTTCTTCAACTTTTCCCATTTAAGGGGTTGCTGTTCTTTACTCTTTGTGGCCACTCATTTTTCTCAAGTTCTCTGCCACAGTCCTTCTATCTTCTCCTCTGTTTTTCTCTACCTCTTTTTCCATCAACTTTTAACAGCAATATCCTTCGTCCCACATAGTTTTCATTTCTACATCTGACATTGCAGTCTTTGTACTTGAATCTTTCTTGAGACTGTAGTCAACTAGGCTCTTTCCCTAATCAAGTCGTTTCTCATCCTGTCACTTTTTAATGTTACCCAACATCCACCTTAACATTTTCACTTCAGCTACCTCCATCTTCTTTTACTGGATCTTCTTTACAGACCACACTTCACTGCCTTACATTAATGCAAGTCTTACCACACTCTTGTATATCTTTCCTTTCAGCCCTGTATTCGTGGCAGCCATAGCTTAGTGGCTATGTTACTGGCTTAACAAGCTGGAGGGCCCGGGTTCAAATCCCGGCACCGACAAAAATTTAAAAAAAATTTCTAATTTAACTGAGCTGCCACCGTGCTTCGGAGGGCACGTTAAGCCGTCGGTCCCGGCTACGAAAGTAGTCGTTAAGTCATGTTAGGCGCGCTTGCGCGACCTGAAAACCCTTACACTAGACCTTAGCCAGAAGGTTACACGAACTTTACTTTTAGCCCTGTATTCCGTGGGCAATTTCTCGATCTAGTGTCCCATTTTCCATTATGTAGGAGCAAAGGTATTTAAATTCTCCTACTCGTCCTAGCATTTCTCCAAGCAATTCTACATCCCTAACTATTCCTCTTTCTTCCAGCTACATATACTCCCGTTTTCGACCTGCTAACCTTAAGCCCCCCTCTTCAATAGCCCTTCCTTAACACTTAAACTTCTCCTTTAACATTTCTTTATTCTCCAAGAGCATTGACCAAGGAGCCCCCTTCATTACTTTCTCTGTCACAGTGCTTAATTTCTAAAATTTTAGGTGTGGGAACTCTTAAAGCGGGAAGCTCAGACCGGTGGGTATGGAATACACCCCAGGAAGGAGGGGGGCCCTCACCCAGGAAAACTTTTGAAAATTATAACTGTAAACCTTTGTTTTTAGGCCACCCAGACATAATAATACATTCATTTTTATAAAATACCAAGTGATATTTTAATGCTGTTTATTTTCTTTAAGGTGCTTGATTAGGATGTAAGAAAATAAAAACATGAATTTAAATTATTGAGTTTACTCTCTACTCTACTCTACTCCGTTAACACCTTGTTGCCTACTTTAAATTTCCCAGAAATATTTGGTTTGATTTCATTGACCATTTTGTTTGAATCATTGAAGCTCGGCAATATTAATTTTTTAAGAATGGTAAAGTAAAATAAAAACAAATTGAGCCTTATTCACTCACAGTTTTATGTATACACATTACAGTAGTAATAATACATATTAATATGTAAATGGATGTTTGTTAATATAACAGCTTGCTTGAACTACAAGTTTGCATATTTTACAAAAAAATTGCTTACCTTATGGGTACAAAACAATATTAATACATTCAAAATAAACCAACTTCTTGGAAAGGAAAAGGAAGCGTTTAATTACACAAAATAAATGACACACAGAGTGGAGTAACACGGTTTCATTTTTTAAAATTTAGTGTAGTTTTAAAAAGTTAAGATTGATTATTTTATTTGCTTATTATAAAACAAATATGTACGGACGGATTTGTAGTATAATATTGTAAGGCAATGTCAAGACTGTTGGTAAAATTAGTTGTTTGTTAATATTTTAAACTTTAAAGTGAAAACTATAAAAGAAACAACAATACACAATACTAACTGTAGTAAGTACAAAAAAGAACTCCGAAACTTGAGTTCAGAACACAACTATAAGTTAGGCATAGGAAAGTTATTTTAATGAAAACTTAATGTTCTGAAATTCTAAAAGATATTTAAAAAACAGATTTAGGAAAAAAGTTCCCACAATGCAATGCTGTCTTCATTGTAAGTTTTCTGCCCTCGTTGTTTTGACTTGGTGTCAAGTGCAGAATGGTGTCCCTTCGCCAGCCAGGTTTTGACGTGTCGCTCGGGATTGTATCTAGCCACAGGAGGTCCTAGGAGCCTGATCCGCAATAAATCGCAAACAGTGCTAATGTAGAGTGAAGATCTAAGAGGAGACATAATTAGATTCATTGCAGAAAACCCACGTTCACATTCAGCACTAGACACTGCAATACTATTTATGATGGAAATCAGTTTCTTAAACGACGGCGGTTGCTCTAGAATAGTAGGTTTCTCTCCACTTAACATAGGCTTCAGTCCCTGCTTGAAGTGTCTGAAGTCTCTAATTATATCCTGAGAGCTGCTAATCTTAAATCTACCGCAGATTCGCTGGATCTCACATTCTCCGTAGGTGATGTATAAGTCTTTTGGCCAATACATGGGGTGGATCACTTTGATGTCATTCATGATTTTGGTGTAGTTTTCAGCCGCATTTGAAGATGATAGCAACCTTGAAGTCAAGTTGTTAGCGAGGCTCCGATAGAACTGTTTTTCTGGAATACTGGGTATCTTGGATCTTACACAAAGTTTAACATCTTGAAACATCAAATCGTCAATAGCAATTTTAGCTTCCACTGAACGTCTACCCATGTTTTCAACTCGGTTTTCAAACACTTTGATTAACAGTGTTACATCACTGTGGGCTTGGATAAGGTTGAGGCTTGATTTTTGAAGCTGTAAGGACAAATCCGATAACTCTTCTAGAGCATCGAACATCAATGCCAGGTTGCGTACAAAAGTTGTAGAAGATAATGTACTACAAAGCCCTTTGTAAGTTGAACGTTGCTTCGAGTCCCTTTGTTTGTCTTCAGATGCTTCAATGAAATGATTGTACAAAGCTTTAAAATCTGTCCAAACTGCTTTCACCGCCATTGAGCTGGAGGCTACCCAACGAGTATCTAAAACACGGCCGATTTTCAACATTTGCTCCTCTAGTCCTTTAGCAACTTCTGCCAACTCTCTGCTGTTTTTCGGTGAACAACTAAACATGTTTCTAATTTTATCCATGAATATCTTAAAATGAGTGATTCCAGCTACTTCTTCTATGGAATCGTGCACGGCAAGCTCTAAACGATGGTTCAAACAATGCCAAATGAACAAGTTGGGGAACGTTTCAGTAAGCTGTATAGCAAGGCCAGATTTCTTGCCTAGTAGCACTGAAGCACCATCACAAGTTAGAGCAATCATATGGTCTTTTATGAATTCAAAGCTTAGACCTAATGCTTGTAACTGATTTAAAAGTTCTTGTAATATACCAGCTGATGTTGTGCTATTTAGCTCAAAAAGTGTTAAGAACACTGTCATAGGGTTTTGCATTCCCTTTAGAACAGTTCTGATATAAACCACCAAAGCATTTTTGTTTGAAACTGAAGTGGCTTCATCCAAAAGTAGGGAAAATTTAGAGTCTGACTTGATTAGGCCATTTATCAAGTCTGATTTCATTTCATCAGAAATATGATGAATTATATTGGAGCAAGCAACATTTGAATGTAGGATTCGCCTCATATCTAAGCCATTCATGATTTGAAAATCAATTTCAGTTTCAAACTCAAAAAATGGCCTATTTAGTTTAGCTTGCTTATAAGCCGTGCGGAAAATGCGCTCAGTTACAATCTGCTGCTCTTTATGCATAGAAGCAACAGCTTTTTTCATTGTATCTTTCTTAGCTTCAATGAGTATTTTTTCAGCCAAAGAATGAGCTCGAGACCCACGGTGTAAAAATATCTTTTTCCTAAGAGAGGATTGTTGGTCTTTTTTATTGTTTCCATAAGCGGTAACAGTTCCTAAAACCCACTCTTCGCTAATCTTTAGGCCCTTCGTTTTCTCTGCACCTAGAGTACTCACACTACGGCAAACGTTGCAACCTAGTTCTCTGTTCACAATTAACCATGGATTTTTAGCTTTAAATTCAACAATTTGTTTTTCAGACCAACAAACTGGCTGTTCACCCCTATTAACAAAATCATTATTTTCATTACTAACCTTAGCTTCGTCTGCATCAGATCCCAAACCCACCGACCTGGATACTATTTTGACCGACGAGGAAGTCGAAGGGGAATGGTAATCGCAATTATCCTCATTGATCCCGATTGCGTCTTCTTTTTTATCTTGATCAACACTTGAAGTTGTAGTCAATGCTTCCGAACTGCAGTTCTCATTATTCGCATAACCTTTTTGTTTCTTAGGGTTAGGTTTAAAGAAATCAACAATTTTTCTGGTAGTCACAGTCAATTAGGAAACTATTTAGCTGCACCAGCACTAATAAGCATAAACACGAACACAATCAACGACCTGCGCCTCAAAAACGAACTTAAGCGTGATGGGATGCGATGCAACTTGTAACTTAAACGCGAAACACACCAAGGTCAAGTCAACTAGTCAACACCATGGACGTATAAATAAAGATGGGCTAGGCATGATCTGCACTCTATTCACCTAAATTTGAAGTCGAAAAGTTTGTAGGCGCGGGGAAAGAGACGAGGTGATAGACTGTGATATATCCTTTTAAGTCAGCGGCGTACCTTTCAATATTTGAAAGTTATTTGAAACAGTTTTTCCACTTGAATAAATAATGACTATTGATTTGATTGCTTTTATTTTTAGTATCGTAAACATATGAAATATTTTGAATAAGTGAGAAACAACAAACGGTGAATAATTTTAATTTTCAGTGTATAGAAATATATTTATAAAAATTAATTTACACAAAAGAATAAAGATGGAGTAAATAAAATCGTAAATTACTTTATATAATATTTTATTTAAACTAAAATAACACACAAACATTAAAAATTTTAAAAAATTCTTCCCCACACATTAACCTGTTCAGGGTATTGAGTATGTTCTTCTCTTATCCAGTTAGTGATAAGTTGAAAAAATATAGTAAATTATGGTATATAAGTCACAAAAAGGAAATTATCAACTTGAACGTAAACAATACAACGCCATATTCTTTTTCGTCAAATCGCTAGGATTGGTTGATATTACCAATGATGCCAAGTTTTACAAAAGTTAAGATTATCAGAATATATTTTCTTTTAATAAATTAAAAAATTAATTTTTTTCTTTTAATTCCTTGGTTGCGAAATGAGTATATCTAAAAATAGTTTATACTAAGTAGATAATACATTTTTACTTATAGATTAAAAATAAATTATACTAAAAATCGAAAATTATTTCGAAGATTGACTCGGAAAAAAAAATAATATGACAACGTCAAATTAGGGATTTGTGCCTATGACTGTGAATATCTCATGACTTCAAGTAAATATGTAAATAGACCGGTCCATCTTTATTTATACGTCCATGGTCAACACACTTGTGATCACTGGGGTGGTGGCGCGGTGAAGGAATGGAGGGGGAAAGGAAGGGGGTGGGGTGGGTGTTGCTTTGTTATTGAGAGGCGCAGCCGCGCAGGCGCGAACTAGGATGACTTGCCCGTCACCTTCCTCCTGCCTGATTCCGTGCAAGACTCATCACAGCACAGCTCACAAGTCACAACTGCTTGTACGGGCGCTTACTATCTGCTTACGTACGAGTCACTCGCAAACAAAGCATAGCATAATATTGATCCTACCTATAATTTTTTTTAACTAAAACTTGTAGTTTTAAAAGCGTTCCCTTGCGTTCCGGCACTCTTGGGAGGTAAGGGAACGCCGTTCCCTTGAGTTCCCACTGAAATTAACCACTGCTCTGTCAGTACATCCATAACAAGATTAAACAGATAATTACTCACCGATGCAAACCAACCGTAACTGAAAAATGTACTTACATACTTCTCAGGAACCCATTTCTCTATCATACATCTCCATAGCTCTTGCCTAGGAAATGTGTCATATGCCTTCTCAAGATCTATAAATATCAAATGTAGCTCTCTTTTCTTCTCGCTGTATTTCTCTATCAACTGCCTCAACGCAAACAAGACATCCATTGTCCTTTCTGGCATAAACCCAAACACTTCTTCTCCTATCGTCTCCCTCCTTAACGTTTGCTCTACAGTTTTTTCCCAAATTTTTATTGTGTGCATCATTAAGTTTATACAACGATACCATCACACTCTTTCTCTCCATGCATTGGGCATCCTTTCTTCCTTATATATCCTGTTCATTTGCCACAAAATATCAACCCCTTCCTCTCCTAGAGTCTTCCAAATATCCAGAGGTATTTCATCAGCTCCTTCTTCGTCCTATTTAACGGCTCGACAAATTCATCTCTCGCTATCCTCTGTATTACATTCTTATTTGTGATACGGTACTTAACACTCTTCCATCCGCACTTTTAATCTGCCGCACGTGGGTCCTTTGATTACTTGTCCTTTGCTTTAGCAATGCTGTATAAATTCTTCAACCCCTCGGGTATTTTCAACTTTTCATACAGCTGTGCTGACGATCTTTTCTTAGCAGTTTCCGTTAAATACCATTCTCTCTCCGATTGCCGACAAGAATGTAGAGCGTCAGAATAATTTTAATAATTTTAAATTGTTTGTCCTTTTGTTAATGTAGTGTTATGTACAATTTGTGTCCATTTTCATGTGTATTACATTCTACGCTTGATGGATAGCCAAAATTTGACGAATTAAGTCTAAAACGTTAATCACAAAAAACTTCGAGTTTTTATCGAAGTTAATTAACTTTCTTCATTTAAAAAAACGTTTCTTGGCTTATTTCAGATGCCCCTGATGAAGCTGTGGATAGCGAAAGTACTTGGGCAAGATTTGATTAAACTTGTGCTCAATATTTGACTTAATTTTCAAAGTTAATAATTAACTGTTGATATCTTTTCTTGGGTTTGGTCTCTGAACCTAAATATTTTTCCTTATTTTTTTTCTTTTCTAAGGTATCTTTAAATTTCTCCTTAAACCCCAAAAAAATGAGTGGCGCCCTGTTTCTCTTATCGTATCTTTGGTAATTTTACCCATATATCTTTGTTTATTTCTGTATATTTTCTAACATATCTTAGTTGTTCTAGTTTTACTTATTTTGTCCGTTGGACCCATTCTCTGCTCCAAAAGCTAGTTTCGAACCTACGACTCGCTCTCCACCAACCATCTGGCTGCCGTCCGCAGTGTCTCCATTGGTGACCTTTCTAGCACCATCCAAAAAAGGTTTCCGAGGTTACAACTTCACAATAAATATTGCCATTATTATTTACTAATATGTTTTTAGACAAAAAAAAAGAAATTCACAAAGAACAAAGAAATATAATTAATATTTGTCTTACGTCATCAATAGACTGCTTGTCCGCCATGTTGCAACTACCTAACTCGAACCTACACTTGAATACAAACTTGTTTCTCATGCGCATGTTGCTTTCACTTATAAATAATGAATGTATCTTCCAGCAGTGTTGCCAATCGGCGCATAATTATGCGATTTGCGCATAATTTAGTTGCCGGCGCATAATTTTCGCATCCTGCATAAAATCACATAATTTCGCACAATCCAGCAAAGCAAAAAAAAAACAATGACAAGCCACAGTTTATAATAACAGTACTCGTCTTCTTGTTTGTTTTAAAACAAAACGTTTATGCCGACATTTTACACAGCCACAAAATAATAAACAATTGGGTTGAGTTTACCGAAAGTACAAGCTGAATATAGCCGCAAATGTCAAAAATATTTCGGTTTGGCAGTGTTGGCATGTTTTTATAACGCATGTTGTATGCTTCAAATATAAAGAGATAAAGCTTTTAAAAAGTACATTTTGAATATACCATTTAATGAATTCTGCAATTTTTAATTTACATGAAGCAATAACGAGTAGATATTTGTCTTTTTCGAGATTAAATGCAATTTTTTTTTGTAATCTGGCAACTGCTGATTTGACGATTGCCAAATCTATCCCCTAATCTATCAAAGTGTAAATGCTAAAAAAATTCTAATTATTAACTGCAATAAATCTCCAAAGAAACAAATATTTACTCATTGTTGTTTTATATAAATTAAAAATTTCAGAATTCATAACAAAATGTACTTTTCTAGAGCTTTATCTTTTTATATTTGAAGTATACAGCATCTACATTACAAAAACATGCCAACACTGCTATAGAGAAAGTTTTTGTTCCATGTTTGACATTTATGGCTATAATAGCTTGTACTTTCGGTAAACTCAACCAACAATTGTTATTTCTTCTGTGACACAGCATTATCTTTAGCAAATAAAAATTACTTTATCGAAGAAAATCTTATATTAGATACAAGAAAACATAAATAACTTCCTATATCAGAAACGATATAAGAAATGATACAAGAAAATGCAGTGTCATACGGCCTTTACAATGACAACTGACAGGACGTGACAGATGACAGTAAGGTTACAACAGAGCGCACAATTTTGTACAAAATCGCATAATTTTTGACAGGGAGGTGCATCCTTCCATGCCAAGCCACTGCTTCCAGTTCCAGTATACCTACATTGCTCGGCTCGCTCTCAGCTGCACAGAATTTGCGTTATAAATTTCTATGGAAACGTATCTCAGGGGATACAGCGGCCGTTTAAGGGTTAAAAGAAGATAAACTAAATCATTTTCATAATTTTTTTATTATACTTTAAATTTTATACAAAAATAGTATGTACCCTTAATACTAAGTATATCATTGTCTTAATTACAGCACCTTTCAACTAAACGTAATATAAAAAATATGACATATTCCTTAAAATTTTATTTTAGTCACTAAAATTACATATTAGAACACATAAATGGCAGTAACATGCTTTGGTTGTAAGTACTTACAAAATTAAGTACTATTTTGCAAGTGAAAATTGTAGAACAGATGTCAGAATAAACAACTATTTTAATTTTGTACTAAATTTACATTAAAAGAGCTTAAAATCATCCACAAAACCCAATTATAGACAAAAATTATAAGGATTTTCTGTTGATATTCTGATTTCTGGTCTACTTGATCTGCTATATTTGCTAAATTTAAGTTGAATTTTATGAAAAACAAACTTCTCCAATTTCTACCCAGAAAAATTGATCTTGTTCTCCAACATCACGAATGGCTATATCGACGATGGGAAGTCGTTGAGGCTTTTCAGTTGAATATGTTATAACTGATTGTTCCCATGTGTTTCGGCGATACTAAAAAATACAACCATATTAAATTTACATGATCAATACAAAAATGTGGAAGATGTGTCGAGTGAAAATGTAAATATCATCAAATGACAAATTATCAGAATACCGACCTGTTTAAGTGATTTGAAGTTCGATAGCTATATTTATGTTTTAGTTTCAGTTTGGTCGAGAAAATGAGAAAATAAAATCAAAAATTGATCCAAGTTGGATGACTAGATTCTTCATTAACTTGTTCAAGACGGCATACATTTGGAAACAAGGCGACATTTAGGTTTCATTTGCCTTTTTCTGTACGCTGGGTTTTGCTGTAAGTGGCAATCGATTCCTTATCTTAAAGAGTGACAAGAATAAATTAGAAACGACCAAATGAAAGGCTATACAGCAAGCATAATCTGAAAAATGGAAAAAAGGCTTGTTTCTGTTAAAGTAAAACCTCGAGCTAAAATAAGCTCGACAGTAGGTGCCAAAGCCTATCCAAATACCAAAAATATAGGTACAAAAAATCTACCAGGTCGCAATGGGAAAAGGTCTACGAAGTCAATCGATTATTTATCTACAATATATACCCTATTACATATGATTGTTTAGAAATCAATACACTAAAAACGATAATTCATTTGAAAATAAAAATGTATCAGAAGTTTCTGCGAAGTGCCAAAATGGAAGATTTATCCTATTTTGTCTTAAGAGATTATTTAAATTCTCAAATCGGAAGTATAATATTAAGAAAAATCTTTCCCACCATTATTATCTAATCTTGAAATCTTACATATTCGACTGCTATTCTATAGTTAAACAGCACGAAACCCAGTCCGAGTTATTCTAAGCCTCAAGGCAGACTTATGGGTCCTGTTATATTTGTTATTTACTGCTGACTTACCAACCAGCAGATTGACCACAGCTGGCAAATATGCTGATGGCATGGCTGTTCTTGCATTAGATACAAAGAGCATCATAAAACTTGCAAATTAATCTGAACAAAATTCAAAAATGGCCTAAAACTTGAAAAATAAAAGTAAATGAAGCAAAATCGCGCCATGTGACATTCACAATACGACGGGAAACTTGTCCTCCAGTTCATTTAAATGATAGTGAACTAACACAAGCAGACTCCACAAACTAGCTTGGTATACATTTGGATAGTAGACTGACTTGGCGAAAGCCAATATTTACTAACAGTAAACAATTTGAACTCAACCTACTGTTCTCGTGAGCTTGCATTAACTGACCAATCGGCGTACGAGAAACATCTCCAAATACGGGAATAATTGTTCAGTGGTTGGAATAAGAGTTATTCAAACTTTTGAGCAATTTAAAATTTCCCGTTGGTCGATTTTACGGGAAGTCCACTTTCATACGTCATAATCCCTGAGAACAAAGGATTTTCTTGCATAAAAGAAGGTGGATTTTCTGTAGTCGGCCAGTTCGAGCTTACCCTCGTATTTAAGGCTCTAGGTACGGTACTAGTCATCCACCTAGAATCTGCCTTTTATTTACCATTGATTTACATATTATTTGTGTACTTGTTGTCTCCTTCCGTAAGTTAAGGGGTCACAAGCAGTTTCGAGGATTCCTTCCGTAAGTTAAGAAATTTCTCAAGATACTTGTCTTTTTACTGTTATATTTCATGTTTATTTGTGTACACAAATATTTCTATTCATATTATTATTATTATTGTGCAGAAAACGCTCTCACAACAGAACTCACACTCAGAAAGGTGGAACTTTTACTACGTAGATTAATTATTGATTAATGTTGATAAATTAAAGTGTACTGAAGTCGTAAGAAACTTCCAAATATGCTTAGATCGCAAAATATCAGAATATCCCAGAAGTGAGGTATATCCCACTGAACTTAACACAAATTGGGAGTTTATGAAAACCACGCTCAAAGAGACCGCAGAGGAAGTGCTGGGTGAAGTACCCAAAGGACAGCGAAACAACTGGTTTGATGAGGAATGCCAACGAGTAACGAAAGAGAAGAACGACGCGTATATGAAAATGATCAACAGAAGGACTAGGAGCAATGTTGAAGAATATCGAGTAAAGAGACGAGAGGAAAAACAAAAACACAAACAGAAAAAGCGGCAACAAATCAATAAAGAGTTCAAAGAAATGGAAAACCTTAATAGAGAACACGAATACAGAAAATTTTACAAACAGGTTAACACAAAAAAAAAAGTTTTCAAACTACAAGCGAACCAAGTCAAGGCCCTTAACGGAATTCTTTTAAACGAGAGAGTCTAAGTACTAGAAAGATGGCAGGAACATTTTAGTACGCTACTTAATGGAGAAAGTAGAGCTGAAGGTAGATATGATATAGAAATAGAACACGAGGATACTGAACTACCAACTTTGGAAGAAATAAACAAAGCAATTCAGTCTCTAGCCAGAAACAAGTCACCCGGAGCAGACAACCTACCAGCAGAAATATTTAAATGTGGCAGTCAAACATTTGTAACCCTCCTTCACAAACTACTAATACAGGTATGGCAAGAACGCGCGTTACCAGAAGATTGGAATACTGGAATTATATGCCCCATACACAAAAAAGGAAACGTTATTGAATGCTCCAACTTTAGAGGGATTTCCCTTCTTAATACAGCATACAAAATTGTGTCCCTGATACTTAACGAACGACTGGCACGGTATACTGACAAGACAATATAATAGGATCCTATCAAAGAGGCTTCTTGAAAAACAAATCTACCATTGATCACATAGCATCTATCAGACAAATATTAGAAAAAACGACGGAGTACGACATAGACTGCCATTACATCTTCGTAGACTTTAACCTTTCCGGAACCGTGCTATAAAAACTTACGTTGCAGGCCGTGCGGGGTAACTATGGTACCCCACTAAAATACTTTAATAATTCATTTAAATTATACATTATTGTTTGGAAAGTTATATAATAAAGCGCTAGTCACTGAAATAATTTGTTTTTATTATTAAAAAGATGTAAAATTTTTTATTTTACCTGTAATTACAATAATATGATCTTATTTATCATTTTTACAGTCAGGGTAAAAATATGTTTTAGTTTCTTCTCGATGTATGTTGCATATGGGTTTTCTGCATGTACTACATGATATTTTAGTCTTTCTGTCCCGTGTTCTGGCATAAAAGCTGCATCTTCGATTTGTATATTGTTGAATGTCTCTGGCAGGGGTTTCTGACACAGTGGCATTGCTATTAGAGAGAAATAAATCTATTGCACTTTTTACAGTTTTGTGAAAATTTTTATTATTCTGTTTCCGGTGTAGAACGTTTGCGAGTGAAAGTTCTTCTGCCAAGTTTTGTAAAAAATTCTTCGCCTACTTCGGTCATTACTCTTCCAATCGGGAAACTTTTTAGTAAATATAATATAGGCATTGAGTGCAGCCATATCAATAATTTCCATAAAAATCCTAAATGGCCATCTCCTAGTTGAACGAACACATGTATATTCTCTAGTCATTTTATCTCCGGTGTCAACTGACCCTTTGGTTTTATTGTAGTGTAAAATAATTTCAGGCTTACGTTTTGCTTTTTCATCAGAGGATATTTCGTCGCTGTGAAACTGTGTCGATAACAAAATGACAGCTTTCTTTTTTGTAGGTACATAGGATACTAATGTGAGATCATTAGAAAATCCAAAAATAGAGGAACGTTCTTCACGCAGAATTTGGAGCAAATTCAGCAGGAATCTCTTTTTTGTTGACCCTTAGAGTTCCCGTAATTGTAAGTTGACGTCTTAGTAGTTCTTCGGCTAGGGGAATAGAGGTAAAAAGATTGTCTGTGGTAACTCCACGCCCTGATCCAAAATAGGGTTTAACCATGTCTAGAACTACCCTAAAACCCTGATTTATTTCTCGTTCATTTTCTATCATTCCAGTGTATATCTGACTGTTCAAAATATAAGCAGTATCAGAGTCCGAACAAACCCAATTTTTTATTGCATATCGACCAGGTTTACTTTTTATATAAACTCTAAAAGGACATTTTCCTCTGAATGTAGCTAATCTCTCATCGACTGTGATATTTTCACCAGGTGAATAATTATCAACGCAATTTTTTACAAATTGATCGTATGTATTGCGAATTGCTTGTAGTTTATCTTTTGTTTCTATTATTCTATTTGCTCTTGTTGAGGGGTCATCAAATCGCAAGGGTCTATATATCATTTTGAATCTATTTCTAAACATTACAGCAGTAAAGAATGGTTGTTTGAATAGTAGATTTGTGAGCTGAATTTTCAGCCCACATTTCGGACAAGTGGAGTTTTCTTCCGTGATTTCTCCCACTTGCTATAAGCACTGCAATGAAAGCGTATAATTCAGTAATTGTAACATTCTTCCAACGCATTTGATCATCAGGATGAGTTTCATTAAATTTTTCAGAATATACTTCTCTATGTCGATTTGTGTAAGTGCATATGTCAGCTAGCATATTGTCATTTAGATAGCATTGGAATGCTTCTTTTATTGAAGTTAGAGCCATGCTAAAACGAATTGCGAATTAATCAAAACATTTGTTTATTTTCAAAATGTATACTGACCCATTATTTTGTAAACCTTCTTGATAATTTAATATATTATGAGCCTTGCGCCTTGTAGGTGCAGGGGGTTGCGTTTTCCATTCATTTCCTGATTTCGATTTTAGTATTTCCGCAATTGGCTCAAAAGTAGACTTTTCACTTTCGTTTTCAGAGACTGTAACTTCGTCTAGAACTGTTTGTTGTTCTTCGACATTTCTTTCTGATTCACTATCACTGATCTCGTATTCATCATTGTCACTCTCTTCTAAAATTCTACGTAATTCCTCTTCAGTATAATATTTACGTCGCGCCATTTTCTCCGAAATACACAAATACGTACCGCAAAGCAAAAAAATTACTACTAAGATAGACTAAAGTAATCTAAACCTGATTTAGAACTTTAAAACTTTAGTCTAACAGTAATCTAAAAATAGAATATTGTTTACATTTCATTTCATTTCGTTTACATCATATTTGGCTGACCGACGACAGGAATATACGCGTATGATTTCAATACGCAGCAGGCCGTGCGGGGTAATGGAGGTACCCCAAGGAATTAATTTCAATTTTACTATAAAATTGAAATTATATTTAATAAGTTTTACAAAAAAATGATTTGGTAATATATTTTCTAAGATTACCTGGAGGGATAAAGAAAAATAAAAATATTTTGAAAAGTTATAAAAACAAAACCGCATCTGGGGTACCTAAAATACCCCGCACGGCCACGAAAAGGTTAAGGCAGCGTACGATACTATTGACAGGTCCCAATTATATTCGGCGATGATCGAATTAGGAATACCAAAAGGTTTGGTAGAATTAACTAAATTGACAATGATGAAAGTCGAATGTAAAGTGCGCGTACAAGGGGATGTTTCAAAACCATTTAAAACCAACAGAGGACTACGCCAGGGAGATGCGCTATCGTGCACGCTGTTCAACCTAGCGTTAGAAAAAGTTATGAGAGATTCGGGAATAAACTTAAAAGGTACGATATATACCCGTAGTATACAAATAATGGCATACGCTGATGATATCGTCATAATTGGAAGAACCCAAAATGAAGCAGTGGAGGCTTTCACACGTATCAAAAATGCCGCAGAAAACATCGGACTTCGGATTAACATCCAGAAAACTAAATATATGCCGGCCATATCAAGAATTCAACAAAATAACTTAGAGGTGCAACACGAAACGATAGAAATGGTAGAAGAATTCTGCTACTTAGGATCACTGGTAGACTACAAAAATAACACATCCAACGAGATAAAAAAAGAATATGCGTGGCTAACCGCTGATATTTCGGTCTGGGCTCTCAACTAAGAGCGAGAAGTATAATAGCAACAAAGTGCAAACTTTATAAAACAATAATACGCTCAGTGCTCACATACGGATCGGAAACATGGACAATGACGACCCGAGATGAAGAGTTACTACGAGTCTTTGAAAGAAAAATATTGAGGACCATATTTGGCGGAGTAAACGAACAGGGTCTGTGGAGAAGGCGATATAACTTTGAACTCTATAGACTTTTTGGTGATGCAGATATTGTGAAGACCATCAAGATAAACCGCCTAAGGTGGGTGGGCCACGTTATGCGGATGGATGAGAGTGATCCCACTAAAATAACTATGCTAAATAGGGCGGTCGGAAGAAGAAGAAGGGGGCGACCTAAACTCAGATATCTGGACGATGTACAGGAAGATCTAAGGGAGATTGGAGTGAGGGGCTGGAGAAGACAGACACTCGATAGGGAAGGATGGAAGAATGTTTTGAAGCAGGCCAAGGCTCACGAAGGGCTGTAGCGCCAACTGATGATGATTTCATGTTTATTTGTGTACACAAATATTTCTATTCATATTATTATTATTATTGTGCAGAAAACGCTCTCACAACAGAACTCACACTCAGAAAGGTGGAACTTTTACTACGTATATTAAGCACGAAAGGCGTTTGCACTTGTTATTTCCTACCTATATTTTCAATGGAATTTCACGGCGTGATCAAGCACTAAAACCGGAAGACAAACAGATTTGTGACAGTTTTGACCCCAACTTACACGAATCTGCATATCTCACACAATTCGTATCATACCCTCACGAATTGTTGAAGCAATAATGGTGGACACTCATAACATATCCCGGTCCAGTTCCACGGACCGCAAGAAGCCCGTAGAGCAGGAAACAGGTCAATCAGCCGCTCTCCACGCCTCTCGACAACACTACATAAACTCTACTGGATGATTTTCAGAAAATCATATCTAACAGAAAACAAAATACTTATCTACCAATATATATAAAATCCGTGTGGACTTATGGGATACAGCCAGTAATTCTAACTTGGAAATTCTTCAAAGGTGTCAAAATAAAAATCTACGAATGAGATTAAATGATTCCTGGTACGTGTCTAATGAAATGATAGGAAGATACCTACAAGTTTTTATTATCAAGGAAGCAATCTCAAACTCCAGTAGAAAATACAAAGAGAGACTACCAACTTGCACGCGAGTGAGCTATTCGACGTTAATGGTAAAGTACGCAGACTAAAGCAATGTAAACAAACAGACTTAATAAATAGATTTTAAGATCAGGCTGAAGCAGATTTAAGTAATTTTAATACATTAAATAAATTTATGTTCTAGTCCATCGAAAAGTTGCATTGAGATAACATTTTTGAGAGGACGCAATTTAATTTTTTTGATGTGTGTGGATTAGTATAAGCATAAGTTCAAATTTGTGAGGTCGCCGTCCTTAATAAAGGTAAATAAGGGTATCCATGATCATGATAAAACCTGTTATGATATTGTTGTGTCCCACATCCCTGATTAAAGCCCTGTACTTTAGCGAAGTCAAAGATTCTCTTTTTACCGTCGAGAATATTTCACGCACCAATGTAGTGATTTTATCGTCACCTGGTAAGCTGTTTTCCACAACATTTCATTCTCTTTATATAAGCCAACCGAGGCAACCTTTGGTTATTATTAGTATTATTAGTATATAAGTATCAGTGCGAATTGCTTTGTAAGCGACAACTATAAATGTGATTAGTAATTATAATATTTGTAATTAAATGAGTCGTTGAGTTAAATAAAATTATTTAAACCATGATGTGCTTCACTTAACCCCTGAACCCACAAAAAACGTAACAATATGATGATTAGTTGGTCCTTTAAAGGTCATGCTAGGATGATGATAGCGATTAGAACATGGAATTTGTTATAAATAGTAACCAAAATAACTTACTCTGCATTCGTCACTAAGTACTTCGTACTTTAGTTTTCCCTTTGGAGTAACTTCGATATCATTCCAGGTGAGCAGTTTGATTCCTCGTCGGAAAGTATGTCTCGTAGCATCAAAATATGCTGCTGATTTCTTGCAATGATATGTGAGATTTTGACTGGCTTTAGATGACAGCAAATGCAAAAAGGCTATTTGAGTACTGTCCGCTTTGTACGTTATCTGAAAGATACAAAATAATACATATTAGTTTAAATTTGTTTGATTCCTTATGATCGATAGTAGAGTGGTAATTTAGAAAGCATGTATCAATCAACAAATTATTTTACTTGTTCTGTATGAAACCGGAAGAGAACGGGAGGAGAGTACATATACCTGCCTGATTTATTTTAGATTTGTTATGTTATGTTAGAAGTTATATCGTCAATATACCTGACCATTGAAAACATAAGGGACTAAGAAGATATTACCAATATAGATTTGGGCGTTATGCTCCAAGACAAGAAGTTAAAAGTAAAGTAAAACACTAAAAATAATGAAGAATGGGGAAAATGCGCAGAGATAAAACAATATATTGGAGGAACTAGAAATTCAGTACCATGGCATTTCTTAAAGTGGCTCTAAAAAATAAGACAAAGGAAACACGTACTGGTCAAATTAAAGATCAAGAATGAAAGGAATTTTATAAATAACTACAAACTGTAAATCGTTCTCAATTTATGGCACAAACAATAGAGAAACAAGAAAACCACACAGAGGACCAGATACTCTGACAGAACAAACAACCTGATTAAAAATGGATCGGAGACATTATTTCACTTTACATGCGAGAAATTTTGAGAAATCAATGTAATATCATTTATGGGCAGACTGTATAGAAAAACTTCTCCTTTTTTGTAGACATGACTCTGTCTGTCTTTCAATGTGTCTTCAGTAAGTTGTCGTTCCGTCAATTTCGTGATCTTTCTACTGATCGTCTTCCTATTGGGAAACCGTCTCTCGCCGTCTTTACCACAGATATTTAAATATGGCATATATGGAAGACATGAAATTATTATCAGGAGTAATGCAAGGGTCCGTTTTGGGATCTACGTTATGGAATACACTGTACAACGGGGTATTAGAAATAGACTATGGTTAATACACCTAGACTATAGCATAGGCAGACTACCTCGCAATCCTAATAGAGACTAATATGAATAGGAATATTGAAAATAAGGTGATAAGTTGTTACAGAAAAGTCAATAAGCGGATGATAGAGAATGACCTAGAGTTAATAAGTAGCAAAACAGATATAGTAGTACTAAAGAGACCAAGACAAAGACCAAATCTGAGTTTTAATTTAAATGGTAGTATTATAAAACCAAGTAACTGTGTATATATTTGGGTAGACACCTTGATTTAGGTTTGAGATACACGAAACACCTTATAAATGTAGTTCAGAAGGCTGAAAGCGCTGCCATGACAAATATTATGTCGAATATAGGAAGGCCGAGTACCTATAAAAAACCCACCTTAATGGGGCTAGTATGGCTTGAAGAATTAATATTTAACAAATATAAATAAATATTAACAAAAACCCAAAGAAAACCCTCCTCAAGTTAATAAGTGCATACCGGACTACATCGACGATAGCCCTACAAGTGATTGCGGGTGCGCTCCCCATTCACCTCCTAGCGAAAGAACGTAAAATCTTATACGACAATGATAACAGCTACCTAACACAGGTAAAAGCCGAGATAAGAGAACAAATGCTAAACAAATGGCAACAAGAATGGGAGGCACAGATATATATCAGATTTTAGCAACATGCTCTTGTCTTGGCCTTGAGAGAGAATGTAATTCGGATAGAAAAGAGAGAACGCCGCTTTTTATTCCATCGTAAAAGGTTTTGTCCCGCCCCTATCTATAGCACATCATTGAAACAAGAAGTTTCGAAGAAACTCAGTCGCATATAATATATAATGGAAGAGATATACCTTCATTCCGTGATTTACATCTCCAAGCCAAATTTCTGGTTCTCTGCCCTTATAGTTTACTTCCGGTGTTCTTACTGGAGAAGGCAGTATACAGGTTGCTCTTTCTTCCATGTTACAGTATACTAGAATAGAATCTTTTATGTCACCTTCGTTAGGATCAACCCAGTATTGTCCTAAAATAAAAAAGCGTATTAGATAATTAAAATAGCAGGATCCATAATAAAATCAAAGTAATAGCTACATGTCTTAATCCTAGTTACTGACGTTGAATGGAAATAGCATACCATTTTGGGAGTCTGGATACGCAGCTTTAATATCTCGACAAGTTTTTCCTGGTGAATTTTTCTGTCCATTCGGCTTTCTTAATTTCTCAAAAGACGTTTTAAGTTGTTCGTAAGCTTTGTCGATTAGTTCGCGAGTTTCTTCTGCAGTCAGCTCTTTGCCAAATATTCTAGGAGGTTGATCATTCATCGAATCAGGTCCTTTTTGATTATTTTGGCCTTGAGCTAGTAAAGCAGCTAAGCTTGCAGCATCGTAACCCATTCCTTCTCCTGGAGGACCTGGAGGTCCAGCTGGTCCTAAAGTAAAGAATTAGGAATTATAATGTTTGTTTGAACTAATTTCCTTCTATTCTTACCTGGCGCTCCTGGGGGTCCAGGTCTTCCATCTTTTCCACTTTCACCTCTTGAACCTGGGGAGCCCATTGGACCTTGCGGTCCAGAACTACCTTCTCTTCCTGGTGGACCCCTAGATCCGCTTTCTCCATCTTTACCTGGTAGACCCCTTTCTCCAGGAAGTCCTCGTTCACCGGGAGCACCCTAAAATATTTAAAATAAATAATTTTACTGACTTAAACTCTCCACATATATTACTTGTGCTCCAGGTAATCCTTGAAGACCCATTAGACCAGCATGACCTTTGGGGCCTATTAAACCCATTTCTCCTCGATCACCTTTTGATCCTTGTAGACCAGGTGCACCCTGTTTTCCTCTTTCTCCTGGAGCACCATCTTGTCCGGCTGATCCTTGTTCACCTCGGGGTCCCCTTTCACCTGCTAAACCTGCTTGTCCTGGAGGACCTTGAGGACCCTAAAATTATATTTATTAACTTACATTGAGATTACAGCTTTCTCTTTCAATTACGTACTGGTAATCCTGGAGTTCCTACGTTGCCTGGTGGGCCAGGTAATCCCTGAGGCCCTTTATCACCTGGTCTTCCTGATATTCCCGGTAGACCTGGTTTACCGGAGGGTCCTTCTGGTCCTTGATCTCCACTTGATCCTGGAGGTCCGAGAGGACCAGGCATACCCTGTGGGCCAGGTGGACCTTCATTTCCAGGTTTTCCTGCAGGTCCTACCTCTCCTGGTGATCCTCTGGCTCCTTGACTTCCTATAGGACCTGGTGGCCCAGGAAAACCGGGGATGCCTCTTTCTCCAGATGCTCCTTGAGGACCAATTGGTCCAACGGGTCCTGGAGGACCCTCATTTCCCCTTTCTCCTCTTCCACCTTCTGGTCCTTGAGCGCCTGGTAGACCTTGTGGACCAGGTAAGCCAGAGCGTCCAATATCACCGGTTGCTCCTTTTATACCCGGTATTCCTTGAGGTCCTGCGGGTCCAGCATTTCCAGGAAGTCCCTAAATATTAATATAAATAATTAGTATAAAAAATAATAACTATATATGCTATATAATGAAACAAAATTTAATACTTACAGCTGGTCCTTGTTCACCTGGTCTACCAGGAGCTCCCATAATACCAGCATCTCCTCTTTGTCCAGCTTCCCCTCGAGCTCCTTTGGCTCCTGTTAATCCAATTAGACCTTGTGCACCAGGCTCTCCAGGTCTGCCTGGTAATCCGGAATTACCTTGGGCCCCTTTCATGCCATTAAAACCTCGTTCACCTTTAATTCCAGGTAATCCTATCAGTCCTGGTGGTCCAGGAAATCCTTGAGCTCCTTGGGGTCCTGATGGTCCCCTTTCTCCAATCGCGCCAGGTGCCCCTGGTTCACCTGTTTAATACATAATATTAATTTAATTTAAAATATTACATATATATCTCGGATATATTAAAATAATCAACCATCTACAAATATGTTGTATAGTAGTTTGAAACTACTAATTTTTAAGTTATACTAAAAAGATTTTTTTATATTATCAAATTGCAATGTATTTATTAAATGAAGTAAAATGAAGTTTTTTTCTCTACCATTGATATGTTTATGAGACAGATTATCTTATATAGCATTTTATACTTCAACTAACCAGATATTCCTTGTGGTCCAGGTTCTCCTGGTGCAGCAGGTTCTCCGGGTGGACCGGGAGGTCCTAGTGGACCTATGGGTCCACGTTCACCTTGTCGTCCTGGAGCTCCATCAGGCCCAATTGGTCCTACAGATCCATGTTCTCCTTTTTCACCTTGTGGACCAAGTGGTCCTCTTAATCCCGGTAATCCTATTGCGCCTGGTAAACCAGGGTGTCCTTTTGGTCCAGGTGGACCATCTGGTCCCTTTAAAATAAAATATGTACATTTATCTCACCATAGAATATTATATTTATATAAAAACTTACTAGTGGTCCATCAGCTCCTTGAGCTCCAGTAGCACCCTTAGATCCGGGTAAACCTGATATACCAGGTAGTCCCCTTTCTCCTGGAAAACCTCGTTCTCCTCTTTGTCCTTGTGGTCCGGCAATACCAATTGGGCCTTGCACTCCTGGTTCTCCATCCTTACCGGGTGAACCTGGATTACCAACAGCTCCAGGAAGACCCTAAACATATGTACACATAAGTAAATACTCTTAGTTACGCTAAACAAAATTCCATATGGCTACTATATTGAATGCGTTAAAACGTACTTGAAAACCTCTTGCTCCATCAACACCAGGAGCTCCTCTTTCGCCATCTACACCTGGAGGACCTTGAGGACCTTGCGGGCCTGGATTTCCATCTTTTCCTGCATCACCTCTGGGACCTGATGGTCCGATTGGACCAGCTTCTCCATCCTTCCCTGGTTCACCCTATCAATTAAACAATATAATATAAAATTGTTAATAACACTTCTTTTTAATAACTCACAGCCAATCCTCTATCTCCAGGCAAACCTAAAGGACCAGGCAGACCTTGAATTCCTTGAGGCCCAGCTTCTCCTGGCTTTCCATCTTGTCCGGGTATGCCTCTTTCTCCTGATGGACCCGGTTTCCCAGGTGCACCAGTTCTTCCAGGCACACCTCTTATTCCTTGTAAACCTGGAGAACCTGGCCTGCCAACTTCCCCTTCGGGTCCTTTTGGTCCAGCTGGACCAACTCCACCCCTTGTTCCAGCTTGACCTATAAAGACAAATTTAGTGAAACTAAGTTATATACGAATCTTAAAAGTATTACCTTTAGGACCTGGTGCTCCGTCAGGACCGGGAAGACCTCTTACTCCAGCAATACCACGCTCTCCAGTAAGTCCTTGAGGTCCTGGAGATCCCCTCATGCCTCGTTTTCCACGTTTTCCCTCTGGGCCAGATACACCGGGTAATCCTCTAGGTCCTGAAGAACCTATTTCTCCTTTTATACCGGGTTCTCCTCTATATCCTCTTTCCCCAGGCAAACCCTGTAAATATAATAGTTTAGAATAAATTAAACACGAAAACAAGTTTTATTACATCAGCCCCTTTAGCTCCTGGTTGACCAGAACTTCCTGCAAGTCCTGGAGGTCCTCTGGCTCCTGGAAATCCGGGTGGTCCTACTATACCTGGAGCTCCAGTGTTACCTTTTTCTCCATGTAATCCATCTTTTCCAGCAGGACCGGGAGGACCAGATTCTCCCGGCGAACCTGGCCTTCCTGATTCGCCTAAAAATTTAATGATTTATTAAAGTTTTACGTATAATTAATAACGCTAATAGAATATAAAAAGAATATTTTTTAATAACAAAATTTTACCTCTACTTCCTTGGTAGCCTTGACTACCTTTTGGACCTGATGCCCCTTGATCTCCTTTTGCTCCTGGATTTCCTGGAAATCCTGGTGCTCCAGGCTTACCAATAGAACCCTAAAAAGATATTTGTATTTCATATTTTGAAGTTATTATCCTTTATAAATTATTTATAAAGTATTATTAATTTTAAATAATCTTCATTTGCTATAGGAAATACTAAGATGTTTTACAATGACTTAATACACAATTCTACTTACTGGCATTCCTGGTGGTCCAGCAATTCCATCAATTCCTCTTATTCCAGGAGGTCCCGGAGGACCTTCGCGTCCCCTTTCACCTCTGGGTCCAGCAGGTCCTTGCGATCCAGTCTGCCCCATTGGTCCTGACACTCCTTGTGATCCCTTTTCACCGGGTGAACCTTGATCACCCTTAGAACCGTCTAAACCAGGAAATCCTCTATGCCCCTTTACTCCCGGCAATCCGGGCATCCCGGGAATACCTCGTGAACCAGGGGGACCTGTCGCTCCCGCTGCTCCAGCTTCACCGTCATCTCCTCGTTCTCCCTATAAACGAAACTAAATTTTCTAAAATAAACAAAAAATTTAGGAATACGTACATCTTTGCCGGGTGAACCCGTTAGTCCTCTGGGTCCAGCAGGTCCTGGTGGCCCGGCGGGTCCTGGTTCGCCTATTTCTCCCCGAAGACCTTGGAAACCTTGTGGTCCTACGGGGCCTGGTGGACCTTTAGATATAATAAATAATTTAGTAGGAAATTTAAGTTTTCACGGATGTTTTTACCTGGTGGCCCTCTGGACCCGACTGGTCCAACTTGTGCTTGTAGGTATTGAAATGGTTCTGGATAACTAGGTCCTTTGTCACCACCTTGGGATTGTGATAATTGTTGGTAAAAGGCACTTAAATCTGGTAGAGGACCGGGTGGTCCGGGTGCACCTGGAATACCAGGAGTACCCGGATTGCCAGGCATTCCTGGATCTCCGGGCCTTCCGGGTTCACCAGCTTCACCATGTTCTCCTTGAGGTCCTAAAATAATGTCTTGTTAATATACTCATGAAATATTCTATCAAAACATTACCTGATTGAGGGGAGTTCAGTGTTTGCAAACATACTTCGTCAGTGTTACATTCTGTTTTACCCCTAACACAGGTACATTCTGTGCATTCTCCTACTTTCCATCTTTCTGTATCTTGATATTCTTTGTTGTCTTGTGTGCACGTAAACGTTCTCTCTGTAGGTGGAATGACATGAACATTTACGCTTCCTTTAGGTCTTTGCGTCGGTCGTTCATTTTCGGGCTGAACAAAAATTTCCGTTGTTCGTTCGGGATGACGATTGCGAGGACGTTCGTTTTCTGGTTGTGGAGTTGTGATAGGAGCTGGTGTAGAAGGATACGTAACTGATGCAGGAACGGCTACAAAAATCATATTAATAATTTTAGGTTTAAAAATATGTGGATGGTAAAACCAAATATATTTACTGAATCACTAGTCGTGCGCAAGACTCAAAGAGTATTAACATCGAAGGACAGATATTCTCATAATAGACGACTTGGAAGAATTAAGAGTTATGCGACAATAACTACAGCAATTAATAGAGGGAGTCGGTTTAAGGATAAACTATGGGAAAACAAAAATGATGACAAATCTCGTCCCCAATGAGCTAATAGAAATCGAGGAATTTCGGAAAAAAATGAGAGACGTCTTTAAAATAAATGGCTCAATCTATTCAAAAAGAAAATCTTTAAGAAGTGTGCTAAGATTTGTCACACACAGAGTAAAAACATTAACTCTTAGAGAAACAGCGGAAAAATTGAGAAGGACTAAACGTAAAGAGAGAGTTTAATGCTTGGGACAAGCTTAAAAAATAGACTAAGCAACGTGGAAGTTCGTCAACGACTAGAGTGGTAGGAAAGATGGCAGGTTTCCAAAATTCCTTGCCCCTTAAGATAGTGGACCCACGACCTCTATATAATTGCGGCCAATTCAATCAGGCGCAAAACAGGAATAGATGAAAATATCTAGAGGAAGCCTATGTTCAGCAATGAACAAATCAGGGGTGATTGGTGATGATGAATAAACAAAAGGAACGAATAAAAGGATGAAGAAATATAATGCAATAGTGTTAGAGTAACAAAGGCATTAAAGTTTATAAAATCAATGATTTCAAGTGAAATGATTAAAAAGGTTTTTTGGTGAATTATTTTAGCCATTTATATACAAATAAAAAATAAACACCAACCAACTGTGATACTTACGCCTTCTAGTTTCATTTTCATCGTAATAATCTTCATAGTCGTCTAATTTGCCATACTCTTCAAATTCACTAGGATCTTGATTTTGAACCTCTTCTGGTTGTATACTATTCGGATCATCGGATTGAGGCTTTGGTTTAGATGAATGCTTTCTTCTTGTTCCAGCGTCTACTTTGGTACTTACAAGAGTAAGGGCTAATAGTACAGCCCAAACATATAGCTTGAACTTCATTCTAAAAAATAAAAGTGTAGAGAATAGTCGGCTAATGGTATGCGGCGGGTAAATGTGCGCATCAATGTTTCTAATCTTTTATTTAATTAAATGGCAAAAACTATATTGTCGCAACAATGGCAACAATTGCTAGATCTATCCCACACAAATGACTGTCGTGAGATACTTTACCGGTTGGCAGTTATCATTTACATGTTTTCGCGTGGTATGTTATTGTTTGTGTGTCTAAAAAAAATAAGCGGAAAGTTTTTTCTTGATAGAAATATAATTTAAAAAGTACATATAGGTATACATACAAGTTATTGATTTACCATTGTAGACACTGGTAGAGTTAGTTTTGCTCGATTCTTTTTTTTTTCTGTTTCTATCCAATTTTATGTTATGTGGTGAAGTGGAAAGTCGTCTAATGGTGCGTATTGCGCACCATTAGCCGATAAAGTGTAAGGTATATAAAGACATTTTATTACGTCTTGTGACTGTCATAAATTCTGGCAATGAAATTGAATACAGAGTTTTCAATCAAGCGACTCTTATTAGCATTCTGCAATAAAATAAGTATAAACGTTCATATAACATGTTTTAATTAGAAAAACCATTATTTTGCAGATATCAAAATATCAACAAAAACCGCAAAGTCGTTCTGCGATGCTGAAACTATGAGCACGGCTCTAGACTTGGTAAAAAATGGTGGTAAAATATGCGAAGCTGGGAGCAGGTTCAATATTCCAGAATCTTCTATTCGAAAATGTAAGAAATTTGTTGATGATGGACATGACATCGTAAATCCTCATGTTGGGAAGCGTTGCATCTTTTCACCTTATAAAGAAAAACGATTAAAAGAAAATAAAGCACGTTTTATAGATGACGAAATTATTTCATGGTTTGACCAGAAATCAGCTGAGAAGACTTGTATTCTCATTTTACAAACATAAATTTTAAACAAAATTTTAGAATAAGCTAAATTTTAGACAAAATTTAACTTTAAGGAAAACTGAATTTTTAACGTTGACGATAGCGGAATTACCACTGTACAAAAACCTTGCAAAAAGACTATCCTAGTAAATTCTATTTACTATTTGTATTTTGAGAACGATTTCCAAAGTGGAAATTGAAACGACAATAAATAGTAATTAAAATTCCCAGTTAAATAGTAATTAATTTAAAATGCCACAAGAAAATAGCTTCAGAACAATATTAAGAAACCGTTATGGGCCCAGCGTTATTCAAAATTTTCGGAGCAATGGTGCAAAGATTTGCTTGTCTTGGAATCACAAGAGCTCTGAGCGGCACACCAGCAGCATCTATTTGACGTGTAGGTACTCAGAAGAATTATCCAATGAAGCACTCGAAGAAGTATAAGATGGTATCTTGTAAACAATGTCTATATCATTAATAAAGTCTCGAATAAGACTCAACTGTATAATCGATATATTAATCTTTGACTTAAGCTTTTAAATCAGTTTATTTTGAAGCGTTATATTTTTATTAAGCTTTTTTATTTTTTTTATCAAAATATACTATCATTGCCTATATTACAGCTTTTATAATAAATAACCCATAAAGCTTTAACTGTCCCCCATTACCATTCTTATTAACATTACGAATTGATTGCAATTTAACAAATTGGTTTTATCTTAAATTGGTTTGTTATCACACATAAATAATCAGATTACACAAAATACAAATTGATGACCTAGTGTTAATAGTTAATAGTAAGATGGTTCTGATTTCATCAATGGACCATTTAAAACGCGGTCATAGCGACCTATATAAAAAGCAAATTGATATGTAAAACAATTAAATTGCGCATCTATTATTAGCAAACTGTGAAGAATGATTCCATAATAATTAATGAAGAGAAACATCTCAGATAAGCGGTCAAAAACAAAGCAATTAAATATTATATGTCGCAAATATCTGTTACACAAAAAATACAGTACCTACATTTAGATCTTTGTCTTGTTCTTTTACAGCGCTCTATGTTTTTTCTACAAGTAGTATTTGTTTTTGTTTCGTGTTTTAATATTTTTAGTTCTTATAATGTCTGTTATTTTTCTTCCTGTTCTTTTTGATATAGACATATTCCACCTGTTTTTCAATGCACTTTTAGCATATTATCTACAATCTATAAATTGCTTGCATTATCTTTCTAGTGATCTTCGTTGCAATGGGAAATAATATATTGCCGTTTTTACTATTATGTCTTCTGCTAGAGCTACATGTTTTTGTTCATCCACTTCCACTTGTCTTGTTTTACCAATTGTTATTATTTCCTCTTCTTCTTTTTCGTCGTTTGATGACATATTAGATTCCCTTGATCCAATTGAAATTTGATTGAAAAATCCAATTAAATATCATGAAACTGATCGATTAATAAAAAAGAGAATAAAAGAAGTTAAGGAGAGAATGTTTCATGAGCAGTGCCAAGAACTAGAAGAAATTGAGAAAAAATATGACTTTTTTAACATGCATAAAAGAATTAGAGAATTAACAGGAATGAGAAAAACACTTCAAACTAGGCAACTAAGAGATGAAAGGGGTGCACTTATAACAGATATAAACCAAAAAATGCAGAGATGGACACAATATATAGCACAACTTTTTGAAGACAAAGAGAGACAAGAAGCACCAAAAGAATTTAAGGATGATACTGGGCCTGACATTATACGAGAAGAAATTGAATATGCAATGAAACAAGCTAAAGGTGGTAAATCTCCCGGGCCTGATGAAGTTCCTATCGAATTACTTAAAATTGTGAATACTGAATCTATTGATCTTCTTTTGGATCTATTCAATACCATATATAGAACAGGTATAATACCTAAAGAATGGCTCCAATCAACATTCATACTGCTTCCCAAAAAAGCCAACGCAAAGGAGTGCAATGAACATCGCACCATAGCCTTAATGAGTCATGTCTTGAAATTGTTTTTAAAAGTACAGCTCGCCCTCGATAGTCCGACAGGTTCGGGACCGACGTAATGTCGGATTACCAAAAATGTCGGATTATGGAAAATGGCTATTTCTTTTTTTGAAAACAGTCCACCATTGCTGCCTCTTGCAAACCTTTTAACACTAAAATCTTGTTCATGTCCACATCTCTCTCTTGGCACCAACGTAACAAAGTGTTAGCTGCCGATACAGCTTCATCACAGCTGACGGTGAAGGTTTTTTTCTGGCGCTGCGTCCTCGATCACGTTGTCATCAACTGCTGTCACTTCTTGAATTATATCTCCGTCTGTCATGTCAGCATCAAGGTTATCTTCTATGATCCATGTTCTAAGCTCTTCAACCGATGCGGGGGCAAGTTGCACTTCATTACAAAGTTCCAATGTAGCCTCTAAAACGGGTTCTGAATCGCTGTTGGATGTAGGATTATACGTTGTAAGACATGGGTTGTTAGGCCATACATTTCTCCACGATTTTATCAGTGTTATGCTTTTTACTTGCTGCCAAGCATACGCAGCATTCAAAATGGCGTCTTTAATGTTAAAAGATTTCAAAATCGCTGGAATATCAGCATCAGGTTGACTGACAACATCCATAAGAATGCGTTTCTTATAGTGAGCTTTGAGGGTTTTTATCACGTTTTGATCCATGGGCTGAATTAAAGCTGTCGTATTTTTCGGTAGGTACATAACTTCAATGTAGCCATCAGCAGTTTTGATTTTCAATTCATCAGCATCAGGATGTCCTGGTGCATTATCCAGTAAAAGTAGGGCTTTCATAGGTAACTTGTTCTTCTTTAGTTCAGCCTTAACTTGTAGAACGAAGCTGTTGGTGTACCAGTCACGAAAAATTTCTTTTGTCACCCATGCGCGACTTTGTGACTTGTAAGTTACTGGCAGAGATTCAACCTTTACATTTTTGAATGCTCGAGGGTTTTTTGATTTTCCTACAACAAGCAGTTTTAATGCATGAGTGCCTGATGCATTCGCACACACCATAAGCGTGAGTCGTTCTTTTTGCAATTTCCTTCCTGAAACTTTTTTTTCCTCGCCACTTACAAATGTTTCTGCCGGGAGCTGTCGCCAATTCAACCCGGTTTCATCTGCGTTGTACAGTTGCTCAGGAACTAAACCAAGCTCAGTAATTTTGTTGTCTAACATTTCAATGAAGGCATCAATCTCAGACCTATCAGCAGACACCTTTTCACCACACATCTTCATAAATCGAATGCCATGGCGTTTTTTAAAGTTCTCGAACCATCCATGACTAGCACGAAAGTCATTTTTCCTCGTTATTTCTGTATAGAAACATTAAGCCTTTTGTTTAAGTATGTCTCCGGATATAGGGATATTCCGTGTGCGTTGTTGTTTAAACCAAATAAACAGTGCTTCTTCCACCTCAGGAAACTCGCTTGTTCTGAGGGTTTTTATGTTTAAAGGGTTGTCTTCAACAGACTTCATGAACCCTTCAATTTTTCCTTTATTCTTCATAATATCATAAATCGTAGGCCGTCCAATTTCATAAAATTTTGCTATTGCAGTCGGCGTTTCACCGCTATCTATACGTTTAATAATTTCCCACTTCTCGGATATTGTTAATGTTTTGTGTTTCCGTTTAACACCACTCGTGCTTGCCATTTTGCCATTTGTACGCGAACACTTGAACTAACTGCGCAGGGAAAATGAAATGCACGTGCACGTCCGCTACGAAAGTCAACTGAACACTGAACACGGAACTTGTCTCCCGTAGCGGCGCGTCGGATTACCGAGTACGTCGGATTTCAAAGTGTCGGACTAGTGAGGGAGGGCTGTAATTCACAATAGAATACATAAGAAATTAGATGAAGGCATAAGTAATACACAAATGGGATTTAAGAAAGGACTGGGAACACGAGATGCACTGTTTGCATTAAGTGTTCTTTCGCAGTGATGCTTAGATATTAATCAGGAAGTATATGCCTGTTTCATTGATTTTGAGAAGGCATTTAACAGGGTGGAGCATAATCGACTTAAAGAAATTTTATTAAATAAAAACATAGACAGTAGAGACATT